GAACAAGTATAGAATCTCAACATTTTTTTTCTTTTTTTTTTTTTTGAGATTTATCCCATTTTAATCTCTTTATTTATTTATTTCCCTTTCTTTCATAAAAAAAACTCACTGGTTTATTTTCCTTTCTCTTTTCTTTCTTTCTCCTCCTTTCTCTCCCTTTTCTCTTTTTATTCTTCTTTCTTCTCCCACTCCTCTTTTTATCCCCCTTCTTCTCCCTTTCCTCTTTTTATCCTCATTTCCTCTCTTTTTCTCTTCTTTATTCTGCTTTTTCTCTTTTTCTTCCTCCCTTCCTCTAGCTTCGCTCTCTTTCTTTTCGCTTTCTATTCCTCTCGCTTTTCTCCCTTTCTTCTCTCTTTCTCTTCCTTTCCATTGCCTCTCTTCTCCTACTCCCTTTCCTCTTCTCTTTTTCCTTTGTTCTCCTTCCTCTTCCCTTTGCTCTCTTCCTCCCTCTTTTGCTCTCTTTCTCTTCCCTTTGTTCTGTTCCTCCTCCTTTCTCCTTCCTTTGCTCTCTTTTTCCTCCCTTTGTTCTCTTCCTCCTCCTTCCTCCTCCCTTTGCTCTCTTCCTTCTGTTTTTGCTCTCCTTCTCCAACTTTTCCTCCCTTTGCGCTCTTCCTCCTGCTTTTGTTCTCTTCCTCCTTCCTCCTCCCTTTGCGCTCTTCCTCCTGCTTTTGCTCTCTTTCTCCCCCTTTTCCTCTCTTTGCTCTCTTCCTCCTCCCCTTGAGGACGCGTCGGGTCAGCGGCTCCCGACGGCGAGGGCGAGGGCGCGGAGCTGTGCATAATCGGCCTGTGATCGGCGCCGCTCCCGCCCCCGGTGCTCTGAAGGGCGTCTCCTCCGCACCCGCCCATTGTCACCGCTCCTCGAGGCCGCCCTCATAAGCCTGGAGGAAGGCGGCTCGAGGGCGTGTTTGGTGTCTCGTCAACAATGATTTGGAGGGGCGTGGAGGGGGGCAGGGGGAGGGGCGTGGAGGGGGAAGGGTGGAGGGGCGCGGAGGGGGAAGGGTGGAGGGGCGTGGAAGGGGGCAGGGTGGAGGGGCGTGGAAGGGGAAGGTGGGGGAGAGGGGTAGAGTGTTGGGAGGCGGTAGGGTGGAGGGGCGTGGAGGGAAGGTAGGTTGGAGGGCTTGAAGGCAGTGGGGAGGAGGGGAGGGGGGTATGTTGGAGGGAGGGGCGTGGAGAGAGTGGAGGGAGGGTAGGGTGGAGGGGTGGCTGGGGACAGGTTTAGATGGAGGATAGGGTGGAGGGCGTGAGGAGGGACTGCTGGATTATCTGCAGGGCGTGAAGGAATATTGAGAGGTGGATGGAGGCGCAGAAGGGGTTTTAGAGGGGATGTGGATGAGGAAGTGTGACCTAGAGAAACGAAAGCGATAACAAATGACGATTATGAGGTCGACGAGTGGTTTCGAACGCGGTGTTGTTACGCGAACGGCCTTTCCCCGTGTTCGTGGATTCAACCGCATCCGAATCCGTACCTCACTTTCTTTCGACTGACATACAATCCACCGCCACAAATACAATAAACACAATCGAACAAAACAAATAAAAAGACAACAACAACAACGAAAACACACACAAACTTATCAAAAACAAAACAAAAAAACAAAAAAAGTACATTTACGCGGGAACAAAACCCGGAGCCTCCCTCTCCGCATTGCGCTCTTCATCTTTTCCTGACAGTCTTTCGCCTTAACCACAATGAATAAAACATGAATAGGATCGGAAACCAATAGGTGAGCAATAGAGAGATTCATCCTAAAGAGATTCATCGTCGAAATATATATTTTCTCTCGCATGAAGAAAGAAATATTTATCATAATTATTTTGTTATGTTTTGTTTTTGTTTTTTTGCGGGAAAAAAAATATCAGTCGGTTTTATACGACTTAGGTTTATTTGAAAGAATTAGATATTTGTTGAAATATAACGAAACGATGATATACAAATTTTATGAATAAGATATACCAAGCATATCATTTTTCTTCTTTATCTTCTTCTTCTTCTTCCTCTTCCTCATTACTCTCCCTTCATCTCTATCCTCTCTCCAAACACCCAGAGTAAAATCCATCTGCATTTTATATAGGAAAAAGATGTAAATTAATACCCCTTGAATACGCCTCACGCCATTCACGATCATTATCTTTATTATCATCAATTTCGTCATCATCATCAGTACCATCACTGTCATCATTATCATAATCATCCCTATTAGTATCATTCGCGCCATCGTCCTCTCATTACCCAAATTGCTATCCTTATCACTACTCTCATCACTCTTATCACCACTAGCACCTCCCCCCTCCCACCACCGCCACCATCACCACAAACCCCTCACCCCCCCTCCTCACCCCACCCACTAACCCCCCCTCTTCCCCCTCTTCCAGCCGGACCATCTTCACTTCCTTCCAGCTGGAGGAGCTGGAGAAGGCGTTCAAGGAGTCCCACTATCCGGACGTCTACGCGAGAGAAATGCTGTCCCTCAAGACCGACCTTCCCGAAGACCGGATACAGGTGAGTGGGGGTGTGGGTGTGGGGGTGAGGGGTGAGGGGTGAGAGGGGGGAGGGGGGGTGATGCGGATGCGGATGTCGATGTAGATGCGGATGGCGTGGTAAGTGTGGTAGGGTGAGGTGGGTGGTTTTGGTGGAGTTTGGTGTGGATGTGATGTCATTGGTGTGGGTAGGAGGTGTGTTCTGGTGTGGATGTGGATGATGGTGTGTGTTTTTTTACGAAAATAGTGTGATGCCAAGAGTGTAACCTGGAGAGCGTAGTGCGGATAGTGTAATTTGGATGGTATGGTGTGGAGGGTGATGAGGATGGTGATGGTGATCGCGGGATGAGTCAGTATGTTGAAGTATTTGTTTACTGATGCCATTATTGTCATTATCGTTGTTATTATCACCATCGCAATTATAGTCTCTATCATTATTTCCACACAACAGCACATATTGATTTAATTATCGAATGTTATAACTGGTATCGTTACTGCCATTTTCTCAATAGCATTTTATTTTTATTGTCATTATTGTTCTTATTGGCATTATTGCTCCTGTCACTATCAATACGATTATTATCACTGCTGTTGTGATAACCCTGTTCTCCTGTTTGAAGATTCGTTTATAATTATGAATTACCAAGTGCCAGGAAATTAACAGCCTCAGAAAATCTATTGTTTTTACTTATATTTTTACCACTGATTCTTATCAGTATTAGATAACTTCGTCCCTACATTCACTGATTAACATATCAAGGGGAGATGTGTATAAATGTACAGACTGCTAATACGAACATAGTATTAAATGACTAGATGATATTATGATTATGACAACTTTAAATATGGAGCATAACTATTAAGTATAAATGTTTATGGCGTCTATGAAGAAGTAGACTAACACAGTCGTGAAGGATTTCATGTTTATTAAACGTTTCGAAGGCAAAGCTAGACCTTCATCATCAGTACTGTCAAAAAGAACCATTGAAAAAGTCAGTTAGACAATAATAATTACACATGTCTGGTTCTGAAGTTCAAGTTTACAAACAGAATTCTAAATACGTAAAAGTAAACAAGAACAATATATACACACGCGTAATGAAAACACATAAAATAATCGTATAATATGAACATATAATAATAGAATACAATAACACTATATACAAAAACTATAACCACCAATATGGAAAACTAAACAAAGTGGGTGTGGGTTGATAGAGATAGATAGATAGATAGATAGATAGATAGATAGATAGATAGATAAATAGATATATATGTGGGATGAGATAGATAGATTGATAGATATAAAGATTTTTTTTCTCACTCTTTCTACTTTTCTTCATCTCCTTTCTATTCTTCTTTCTCCATTTTTTTCGCACCTCTTTCCTCCTACTTTTTGCATGACCTGACTCTCCACTGTGACCTGGTCTGACCCCTACTGGTAAGTACAAGGACGAGAGGAAACAGAAGGAAGAGAAGAAGAGAGGAAGGAAGACCAGGCGAGAAGGGAGAAAACAGAATAGAGACATAGGAAGACCGAGAAATATGAGAAGACGATAAATTTGTGAGTAAAGCGAAAACGAAAGAGGAGGAATGGATACGAGCGAAGGAAGAAAAATGAATAAAAACCGTTGGATAGATTTAACAGATGGAAGAAAAAAAGAGGAAAGAGCAACAGAGCGAAGGAGGAAGAACGGCAGAGAGACGAATAAAGGGCGGAGGATACGACCAGAGGATAGATTTGTGGACAGAGGGATAGTGGCGGATAAGCCATGGATAAAGAGAGGATTATAAGGTGCGAAGAGGGAGGGGGTGGGGGGGAGGGGAGGAGGGAGGGTGGGGTGGTAGGTCCTGTTGGGTTATGGGTTAATATGATTTATATTCCATTTCTTTTCTCATGTTTATCCTCATTTTTGTTCATTATTTATTTTCGATTCGTCTTTGATCATGTCTAACGATTCAACTGTCCCATTTTCCACACAATATGCAAAATAGAGAAACAGATGGAAATAAAACAGAAACAAAAAAAAAACCGTCAACTCAAAGAAATGACAGCCAACATGCCACTCCGACTGACTGACTGACACAAGGGGGATTATCAGGCCTTGAGATAAGCATCTACACGACACCAAATTCAGATAACAGGTGTCACTTCTACAGCTGTGTCGAGTGTCACACCTGTTACCCTCGTCAACCTGGGCGACCTTGGCTGTAGGTTCACGCCCCCGACAGGTCAAAGGTCATGTATGGGTCAAGAGGGGAGGGGGGGGGGAGATGAAGGTCGCATGTCCTCTCGTGGTCCTTGCCGGAAGGGAAGGGGGGTGTATAGATGTGTGTGTGTGGGTGTGTGTGTGTGTGTGTGTGTGTATGTGTGTGTGTGTGTATGTGTGTGTGTGTGTGTTTGTGTGTGTGTGTGTGTGTGTGTGCTTGTGTGTGTGTGTGTGTGTGTGTGTGTGTGTGTGTGTGCGCGTGTGTGTGGGTGTGTGTGTGTGTGTGCTTGTGTGTGTGTGTGTATGTGTGTG